TCCAGCTCCCAAATAAATCACACACATGGAGTCATATTTTTACTTATAAATATCCAGCCTTAGCTTGGCGTGTTTCTTGCCAGCCTTTCTTAACTTAAATTATCCCACATGTCTTTTGCCTCTGGGCTTTTACTTTCCTATTCCTGGGTACCTTTCTTTACTTGCCGTGTAACTGAGTGGCTGGCCCCTTCTTTTCTTTCTCCTTGATTTTTTTCCTCTCATTTTTTTTTCCTATTTATTCTCTCTGCCTAAAAGCCCCGCCTATCCTTTCTCCTGCCTAGCTATTGACCAGTCAGCACTTTATTAGATCATTCAGGTATTTTAGGCAGGCAAAATAACACAGTTTCACAGTTAAACAAATGCAACAAAAAAGAATGCAACACATTTTTGATTCATTAAAACAAATGTTCCACAGCATAAACAAATGTAACACATCTTAAAATAATATTTCACAATACCAGGCTGCCCTCAAACTCAGATCTTCCTGCCTCTGTCTCCCAATTGCTGGCATTAAAGGCATGAGCCAACATGCTTGGCTAGAAATGAGATAAGATTTTTAAGTGCTGGAGGTATAGCTTGGTGCTGGAACACTTGTCTAGCATGCACTAGAGAGATGGCCCAGAGGTTAGCTGCTCTTGTAGAGGACTGGGCGTCCAGCATCTGAATGGCGGCTTACACCTATCTGTAACTCCAGTTTCAGAGGTTCCATCAACCCCTTTTGGCCTCCATGAGTATCAGGCACACATGCAGTGCACATATATAATACAGGCAAAACAATCATTCACATAACATTTAAAAATAATCTGTTAAAAATGTGGTTTTCAGCCATGAAAACTGGAATCTCAGCAATATGGAAGCAGAGGCAGGAGGATTGAAAGGTCAAGGCCAGCACAGACTAAATAGAGAAAGATCCTGTGTCCCCTCCTCAAAACTATGATTCTAATCTGACGGTTCCCTTTCTAGCAATGTATCACATAGCATTAATTGGCTAAAACTGGACTAAAGGGTTTGAAGATGTGTATTTATTGTGGTATTGTTTGGGGGGTTTTGTTGTTTGTTTGTTTGTTGTTTTTGGCTTTCAAAATGGGTTTTTTCTGTGTAACAACTCTGACTGTCCTGGAACTTACTTTATAGACCAGGCTGGTCTCAAACTCACAGAGATCCAACTGCCTCTACCTCCCAAATGCACTACCACTGCCGGGCTTGTGGGACTGTTTATAGTGGCAAAAAAGAAAAAAATAAACACCATGTAAGTGTTCAACAAAGAGGAATGGCTACATGAAGTTTGCATTGTAAAAGCTCTTAAGTACTGTGGAGAGAACTTGTAGTTCGTGGTGTGTAAAAATGGTTGGAAAGATTTCTGAAAGGGATGGGTTATTGAGACGAGCTAACCAGATGAGACACATTTGGGCAGGACTGGGACCCACGTGATAAACATGTGCCCCGTGTTCAGCCTCACTTGTGTGTGTCTCTGTGCATGCTGGAGATAACCCGGTGTCCTGGGTGTTAGGAGAGCAGGAGAATTCTGTCTTCTTGTGTCATCTTGCGTGATGGTTTTATACTGCACATAGAATAACTCCTCTGAATGCAATGGTTTTGTATTTGTGTCTTTCCAGTTTCCGGACTACCTACCCTGCTCAGTGATGTTGCAGCCAGCTCCACAAGACGTAGGGAAGGTAAGTTAAAGAAGAAACGCCACAGGCTCTTCGTCCCTCAATAGGCTTTGACTGTCTGTTTTTAAGGCTTGGTCTTACGTAACTGAGACTGGCCTTGGACTCCTGATCTTCCTGCTGCTGGGATTATAGTGATGAGTCACCATGCCAGGCTTTCAAATAGACCTTTAAAGTAGCTTTTTATCATGGAAGATTTCAAATACACACAAAGCTAAAGGGCCTAGCGTAAAGACTCTCCATGACCCACCCCATCACTCATCTCCAGCAATTATTAACCATGAGCATTCTTGTGAACAAGAGATTAGAGCCTCCTAGGTCTCTCATGTTAAAGGAAAGCCACAGGCAACAACAAAAATACACAAGTGCAGGAAATGCTAGATGGCCACAGGCACTCTGGAAAGCCCCAGGCTTGTGTGAGGGAGGGACAACAGATGACACTTAGTACCAAGAAAAGGGGAAAGCCAGGCTCTGCAGGGAGAGAGGCCCTGGTACTTGTGGCAGGGAAACTGAGGATAGCTGAGATCAGGGACAAGGTGGTCACTCAAGAAAAGGGAGACCAGGAACTAAGAAAATACAATTGAACCTTGTCAATTCCACCAGTGCTCTTTCCAGGAGGCTCCATCTCCTGACTCTTAGATGACTTTTCTGGAGTTTTACAAACCTGTGTAGGCCAGAACTCCTCCCATTCCCTCTATTCTTAGAGTGGAGCGTGTGTTAACTTGGTGGGAAGACTTCTGGGCTTGGAACCTCCAGTATCCTAGAGCTGAGGACTTGGTTGCTGCTGGGAGTCTTGAGGGACACATAGGAGATTATTACATAAATATATACATATATATAATACATATAACACTGTATATTATAATATATAATATACTTCATTACTATATAATGGTTATACAATTTAATGTCTTAATATTACATAATAGTTAACAGTATATAATATATGGGCAGAAGTTTTAAAACACATGATATATAATCATGTTTTTATTCAGTTTTACACAGCTGTAGAGTGAATACTTCAGCCTAGGGGAACCACAGAGCCCAGGGAGGCCTGCAGAAGTATGTGACTTGTTCAGAGATCAGCATTTATCGGGGCATATGGGTAGGTTGGGTAGGTGACAGGATGGACTGCCTATACATTGCCTGATGATGGGAGCCACACTTGTTTCTTTACAACCTGTAGTTAAGAGGTGCTGTGTCCCTTAGTCTCAGAACCTTTAGGTCTGTGGCTCAGCTGTCACCATTGACCTATAGCATTGAGACACAAGAGATACTTGCTTCCTCTGATTCTCTCTGGGCAGAGACCAGGATGTGCTGGGCCTACACAGGGAACTGAGGGATTGAAATACCAGGCAAATGGTATTTACTCCATCAATGCAGGCTTAAAAGTTCTCTTTCATTATGAAAATGATGTGATCTTACCATTTTGCCTCATTTTGAAAGGAAAAAAATCAACCATTGTAAGCCATTGCTGTCTGGCTTGAGTTAGCTTTGGGAGAGTCACTGAGGTCAGACTGTTTGCAACATGGCAGGACATTCATGGACACCACTTCCAGCCCCATGAACATCTGTGTTTGTCCCCATTGCTGTGTACAGCATTTAGTCAGAGGCTTGTACAGGGTGGACATTTGTGGACAAGTAGAGGGAGGTGTGGACCTACCAGGACCCTGGAGGCATGTTGACAGGCTGTCCTTCTGTAGGACTTTCAGCCTCCTGCTTACTCCTTGTACTGGCTGATTTAGTGTCAACTTGACACAGGCTAATCATCTGAGAGGAGGCAGCCTCAGTTAAGAAAATGCCTTCATATGATCGAACTGTTGGCAAGCTTATAGAACATTTTCTTAATTAATGACTGATGGGGGAGAGCTCAGCTCACTATGGGCGGTGCCATCCCTGGGCTGGTGGTTCTGGATGCTGTAAGAAAGCAGTGTGAGCAAGCCATGGGAAGCAAGCCAGTGAGCAGCTCCCCTCCATGGTCTCTGCATCAGCTCCTGCCTCTAGGTTCCTGCCCTGTTTGAGTTCCTGTCCTGACTTCCTTCATGTGGAAGCATAAGCCGAGTAAACCCTTCCTCCCCCCCCCAACTTGCTTTTTTGGTCATGGTGCCTTATCACAGGAATAGTAACCCTAACTGGGACACTCATCATGCTAATGTCAATGTTGGATTTGCAGTACACATCCCCACTAGTCTTCATGGAACAACCCCAAGGAAGACACAAGTAAGGCGAAAAGCTAGGGTCATAGATCTGCCTGCAGGTGTGACCTCCTGTCCTGGCTCCTGGGAAGGGGAGGTGCTAACCACTGCCCCATCTCTTGTCTCACACAGAGCTGTGGGGTTGACTTTGAAGTCAAAGCATTTGCCACAGACATCACAGATGCTGAAGAGGACAAGATCCCTAAGAAGTAAGAGTCCTCTTGTGGGACTGGGGAGGGTCTGGGTGGTATACAAGTAGGAACAAGAGACAGCCCCACTATAAGCTGGCAGTGGCGGCACACGCCTTTAATCCCAGCACTTGGGAGGTAAAGGCAGGTAGATCTCTGTGAGTTTGAGGTCAGCCTGGTTTACAAAGCTACACAGAGAAACCCTGTCTCAAAAATAAAAAAAAGAAAGAAAAAAGAAAAGAAAAGAAACAGCCCCATTTTATCTGTGTGACAGAACTGTCCCCACAGGTTCCCTGTGGCTGGTATCACGCAGCATCCTCAGAACAGGGCAAATAAAGACTGAACTATCTGCCATGGATAAGATGGTTGGGGGGCAGTAACTAATAATATGGGGTGGGGGGGAATAACAGGGAATGACAGTGGACTTAGCAACCTCAGGGACCATGGCCCCCCCAAACCTTCTAGGTCATTTCTTTCATTTTCTTCCTTTTAATTCATTTATTTTCTTTCTAATTTTTCTTTTCTTTTAAAATAGTGTCACTCTATAGCCAAGGCTGGCCTAGAACTCATGAGGGTGGTCCTTCTGACTCAGCTTCTAAGATGCCATATCTATTTTCTCTCTTAAAACAGTTTTTAAACTTAGGATAAGATACATATATTGTGAAGTCTATGATTCTAACCACCTTTAAATGTGTAGCTCCATAACACTAAGTATATTCACAATGTTTTGCCATCATCAGAATCTAAATAAAAGCTTTTGTGTTATCCCGAACAGAATCTCTGTCACCAAAAAACATTCCTCCTACCAACAAGGTGCTCCATTTTCTTTTAATTTTTTTGAGAATTTCATACACATATGCAGTGAAATATGAAGATAGACACCTCCACTTCCTGTCCTCCCCTCCCCTCCCCCCATACGCTCCCAGCACCGCCCCTCCTGACTTTGTGTCTCCATCCATCCCATCCCTTCCCACATTCTGCTCATACTCAGCATTCACATCTCACAGTGCTGTGTGCTTTGCTGTGGATCTGACCCCGAGCTCAGTGCTTTTGATGCTTGTGACAGTGACAGTGTGTCACAGTTGCATGGCGCTCCAAAGCCTGGTCACACAAGTCATCTGAAGCCATGATACAGACCCTCCTGAGAGGAGGCTAAGCTGAGTCTGACAAGATGAAGGGGATCCTTGAGGGCATTGCTGGTTCAGCATTCAGTTCCTGGAATCATGGAAGAGAGATTAGAGCAGCACCCCCCTCCATTCTCCCATATCCCCTGGAAGGTCAGTTTGAAGCCGAGTGGGGGTGGGGTACCAACCAGGAACCCTGGACCTTTTCTCCTCAGGAGCTCTGTGCGGTTGCTGATCCGGAAAGTGCAGCATGCCCCTCCTGAGATGGGTCCCCAGCCCTGTGCTGAGGCATCCTGGCAGTTCTTCATGTCCGACAAGCCTCTGAACCTCTCAGTCTCCCTCAGCAAAGAGGTAATCCACATCCTCATGGGCATTCAGGTCAGGCATCCAGACCATAGCCTTCTCACTGTGTGGACAATTGTCATCTTATTTCCATTACTTTGGAGCTAGTCACCATGAGACACCATGGCTTTCCATTGTACTTGTTGGCTATCCCAATAGACCGGGGGCTGTTGAGACTGTAAGCATACTTCCCCTCCCATCTTCCCATTTTTCATGCCTGTCTCTCAGGCAGTGTTGCTCACTGTCCTACTTCAAATCGCTCACTTCCTTGGAAAATTGAGATTTCATAGAAAACTCACAGGGTAGCCATGTCAAGGGTGGTGTCATCAACGATGAGTGTCATGGTAGTAGGGAGTGAAGAGCCGCTGGCCAAAGCTCTTGTGGTCCAGAGTCAGTGATACGCAGGTTAGCCAGTGCCACACGTACTATGTACGTGCACGTGCTCGCATGCGTGCGTGTGTGTGTGTGTGTGTGTGTGTCCATCCGTGTGTGTGCACGTGTGTGTGTGTGTGTGTGTGTGTGTGTGTGTGTGTGTGTGTCCACCCAGGGCTGGATAACACAGGTTGTTGTTGGGTAAAGCTCCATCAGCCAGCTTTCCTAGTGTCTTCTTTTCATTTCACACATCGCATCCCCAGACAATGAAGTCAAGGCAGGAATTTCAAAGAGCTAGTTGTGTCACACCCACAGTCAAGAACAGAGAGAGATGAATGCATGCATGCTCACTGGTTTGCTTGCATTCAAGTTGTTCCCTCCACTCTTAATACAGTTCAGGACCCCCTGCCTAAAGAGTGGTGCTGCCCACAGTGGGGCTGACTCTGCCCACATCAACTAACCATCAGGACAGTTCCCCACAGACGTGCCCACAGACCCACCCAATGTAGACAATCCGTCATCAAGACTCTGTCCTCAGCTGGGTGTTGGTGGCGCACTCGGGAGGCAGAAAATCTTTGTGAACTCGAGACCAGCCTGGCCTACAAGAGCTAGTTCCAGGACAGCCTCCAAAGCCACAGAGAAACCCTGTCTCAACCCCCCCCCAAAAAGACTCTGTCCTCCCCGGTGGTGCTAGGTTGTGTCAAGTTGACAAAGCTGACCATCACACCCCTCAACCTCCTTGGTCTGCTGCAGGGAAGGGCTGAACATGTCCATACCCACATCTAGAGGGAATGCTGCTATCGTTTTAGCATCTCTAATACTGGGGTTGTTCAGCTTTATTTATTGAAGAGATTAAGAAAATCCTGGTCTAGAGAGCCCTCGGAGCAGATTCCATCCCTCTGCACTCCGTTCTTCTCTTCTGATGTCTCTCTCACTTTCCAGATATATTTCCATGGGGAACCCATCCCTGTGACTGTCACGGTGACCAATAACACAGAGAAGACTGTGAAGAAGATTAAAGTACTAGGTAGGACCTTCTAGAACTCCTCAACCTCACACTATCTCTTAGGGGCCACTCTGACCTGTAAGTCTCTGCCTCACCTGTGTCCTTGGGTATGCCTGCTGTTGCTGTTAAAATTGACAGCAGGGCCTTAAAGAGAGGAGGGTCATAAAAGTCTGTGGACATATCTCAGTTGGCAGCACATGCAGGAAGAAACCCTAAGTTCAATCCCAGCACCACATAAACCAGGTGGTGCACACCTAAAATGTCAGCACTTGGGAGGTAGAGACAGGAAGATCAGAAGGTCAAGCTTGTCCTTGGTTATGTCTATATTGAGGTCAGCCTTGATGACATCCTAGATATGCCTGTGTTGATCCCCTGCCTCAAAACAAGGCATTGCATTCATCATCATGGTCTCTTAGGCTGCCTTTTGCCTTGGCACTTTGTCTCCTCTCCTATAGATGGCCTTCCCATTTTCTCGTGATCATGCCTTCCTAGAGACACCCCTCTGAGCCAGGCCTCACTTGAGAAGTCTAGGGAGAAACTTCTCTTTTTGTTTTTGTTTGTTAGTTTAATTATTTAATGTGTTAGGTGTTTTGCCTGTGTGTGTCTGTACCATGTGCATGCAGTGCCTATGGAGGCCAGAAGAGGGCAACAGATCCCCTGGAACAGGTGGTTGTGAGCTGCTATTTGGATTTTGGGACTTGAACCTGGATCCTCTAGAAGAACAGCCAGTGTTCTTAATCACTGAGCCATTTCTCTAGCCCCAATTCCCTTTTTGGACAAGTGATAGTTTTTATTGATAAATATAGCAAGTGTATTGAGCAAGGAATTAGATTTGAAAATACTGGGCTTCATTTGTGGGCTCCTGGTATGTCGCCCTTGAATCCCAGTTGTTACCCACAGTAGAGGCTCCTCACCCACCTTCCCAGGCCTGTAGGCACTAAGGAGAGGTCCCACATAGTAGTGCTTCATGAAGAGTGACGTGTGATGTCTCACCATGAATGACCGGCTAGTGAGGATCAACTCCGTTATGCACCGCAGTGGAGACTCTCCCCTTACTGCTCTTGTATGTCAGTTCCTCAACTCAGAGCCCATCCAAGTGCAGGTCCTAGAGCAGCGTGGCACACGCCTGTAATCCCAGCTCTCAGGGGACTCAGACAGGAGGATTAGGAGGTTGAGCCCAGTCTGGATGACATACGTAGTTTTTGTCTCAAAACAACAAAATGTGTAGGCCTTCTGTAGGCAAAACATGCAAACAAACAAACAAAGAAAACACAATGGATTGACCTGGGAGAGTACTTCAGACTTCAACTTCCAGCTAAAATGTTTAATGGCCACCATTAAGGAAGATTTACAGTCAGAGTAATGTTAGCCATCCCAGTTTACCCAGGACAAAGGATATGGGAACTTCAATATTAAAATAGACATTGCAGCTGGACTCAGCTACCAAGAGGGTCAGGAATTCAAGGCCAGTCACAGCTACATGCAGAGGCTAGTCTAGATTATATGAAGTTCCATTTTTAAAAAAAGCTAGAGATATCCCTAGTTTGTCGCATACTTGCTGGGTATAGGCAAGGTCCTGGGTTTAATCACCAGTGTACACACATGGGCGCTCGAGCGCACACACGCGGTTTGAGTGTGCCCACTGAAAACTCATGTGTTTGAAACTTGATCCTCACATTCACATGTTAATGATATTTGCAGGTGAGACTTTGGGAAGTAGCTGGGGTCAAATGAGGTTATGAGGAAGGACCTGTAATGACATTAGTGGCTTTGTAAGAAGTAAAGAGACTTAAATTAGCACAGCTGCCCTGCCCCCACCATTTGAGGTCCCCTGCTATTATGATCAAACAGGAAGGCCCTTATCAGATGCCAGCACCACTTGGGATTCTCAGGTTCCAGAGGCAGGGGCTAATTAATCCTCCATTCTTTATAAGTATCTTATCTATGGTATGTAGCCATAGCAACAGAAAGTGGACTGACATATTCCTCTTTCCCTGTATGTCCATCAAAGATGAAATTCAGATTGTGTTCATGATTATTATAGACTCAGTGTTTTTTCTTATTGCCAATATGGACATTAACTTAGCCTTGTTTTATGTTGGCTTAGTTCTCTGTAGGACTGAATTATTCAGCATATTGTATGCAGTGTCAATACCTTGGTCTGTGTGGTAGAGTCTGTCTGTCCATTCAGGCTGCTGCTGCAAAAATAGCATAAATTAGGCGGCTCACACACACTGAGATGTGGGCCTCAAATGTCTGGTCCTCCTGCCCCTGCTTCCTTAGTACTGGTATTTGCAGGGATGTTCCACTTATCCAGCTACAAATAGTTATTTCTGGCAGTTCTGGAGGCTGGGAGGTTCAAGATCAAGGTGCTGGTATATTGCTCTGATGAGGACCTTAGCCTCCAACAAGTTCCTGAAACCTCCTTTTCAAGGCCACTGATCCTGTGCATGCATGTGCCAGCCGCAGGGCCACATCGCTTACTCCCAAAGCTCTCCTCTTAATAATGGATGCTAGTGAGACGAGCTGGTAAAAGTGCTTGTTTACCAGCCTGATGACGTGAGTTTGATCTCTGGAACCCACGTGGTGGAAGGAGAAAACTGACTGTCCCACAAGCTGTCCTCTGACCCCCAGACAAGGGCCTTGACATGTACACGGCTCCTTCTAACTGTGCAAATGTAAGAAATGATGTCACGTTGGGGTTGTAATTTCAGTTTTGAAAGAACAGAAGCAAACTGTCAGAAACAGCAGCAAACTCAATAATGGAACATTAGAGTACTTGTATTTAAAATTATTTCCCAACAAAGTGTGGTGGTACATACTTGTAATGCTTGCACTTGGGAGCCCAAGGCAATATTGTGAGCTTTAGACCTGCCTTTGGTACACATTACAATCTGTTTCAAAATAAAAATAGTTCTCAAAGTTTATTGAATACCGATAACAGAACTAATGACCTTGAAAGAAGCTGTTGAATTTTCTGAGACAAAATGTTAATAGCTTTCTATAAATTAGGCACATGATAGGTGCTTTAAACTGTTTCATCTAGGTGGTGGTGGCACATGCCTTTAATCCCAGCACTCAGCTTCAAGGTATGTGGATCTTTGTGAGTTCAAGACAAGTCTGGTCTACAGAGCAAGTTCCAGGACAGCCAGGGCTACACAGAGAAACCCTGTCTTGAAAACCCAAAATAATTTTTTCTTTTAATTCTCAAACCTGATTTTAAGACATTAAAAGCCATCTCTAAAAATTTTTACATTTTCCAGATGTGCTTTGCATATATGCCTTTAATCCTAGTAGTTTGGGAGTCAGAGACAGCAGATCTCTGAGTTTGAGGATAGCCTGGTCTACAGAGCAAGTTCCAGGACAGCTAGGACTACACAGAGAGACACTGTCTCGAAAAATCAAAACAACAACAAATTTTTAATTAATTTTTTTCTTTTTCTTTTTCTTTTTTCTTTTTTTTTTTTTTTTTGAGACGGTTTCTCTGTAGCTTTTGAGACTGTCTTGGAACTAGCTCTTGTAGACCAGGCTGGTCTCAAACTCAGAGATCTGCCTGCCTCTGCCTCCTGAGTACTGGGATTAAAGACGTGCACCACCACCGCCCAGTCACTAACTTTGTATTTCTTGTTGCAACATGATCTCATATAGCTCAGGTTGCAGCTGAGATTGTCCCTGAACGCCTGATCCCCTGCCTTGCCCTTCCAAGTCTCTCAGGCATGAGCCACCAGACTCAGCTTCGTAGTTATTGTGTTGCTTTCTGAGGCAGGGCCTTTCTTGTCTATCTTGCTATGTGGACTAGGCTAGCCTCAAGCTAGCAGAGTCCCTTTTGACTCTGCCTTATGAGTGCTAGGGTTTATAGGTGTTCATCATCATGTGTGTACATGTATATAAATGCACGGAGAGGACAATCTCAAGTCTGGTTCCTCAGGTACACTTTTTTGGGGGGAACACGATTTCTTACTGGCCTAGAGCTCACCAAGTAAACTAGGCTAGCTGGTCAGCAAGCCCTAGGGATTCATTCACCTATGTCTGCCTCCCAAGTGCTGGGATATGTGTCTACTGGAGATTGAGTGCAGATCTTTGTGCTTGCAAGGCACAAAGCCATCTTCCTAGTTCATTTTTATTTTATACGTGTGTGTGTGTGTGTGTGTGTGTGTGTGTGCATATGCTACATCATATGTGTGGAGATCAGAGAACAACCTGTGTGAGTCAGTTCTCTCCTTCCATTGTGTGGGTTCCAGGAATTGAACTCATGACATCAGGCTTAGTGACATCTCCCCAGTGCCAACCTGTCTTTTACTCTTCAGATCTAGCCTATGCAATCATCATTCTCTTTTTTGCTTGTGGGGAAACTGAGGCTTAGAGGAACTAGAGAATTTCCCCCACAGAGATTTGAGCCTAAGCAGTCAGGCTGTAGAGTCATCCTCCCTGTCCACTGTATCACACTATGTATGGGTCACGTATTGCTTTTGGCAGGTTTCCAGAAAGCTTAGGGACTGGGAGATGGAGGATGATGGGAAGGGTTGGGTTTGTAGGTGAGCACATTGTGAGTTCTGGGATGCTGAAGACACCATTCCTTTGGATAAGGATGCCCAGTATAAATCATGGGCTCCCAGGAGAGGAGGGGACTCCTGGGAGCTGCATCTGAGAGCCTGGTGTTTTGGTGGGAATTGACTCAGAGCAAGTCACTGGTGTACAGAGATGGCCTGAAACCAGACCTTGAAAATGTTCACCCTTTAAGGAGGCTAAGAAGGCCAGAACTAGATTCAAATGGTCTCGTGTGTCTCCTGGAAGGCTCGAGGGGCTGCGCTGTTCACCCCACTCCTGTCTTCCCTTTGCAGTGGAACAAGTGGCCAATGTGGTTCTCTACTCAAGTGATTATTACGTCAAGCCTGTGGCCTCGGAGGAAGCACAGTAAGTAGCGGTTGCCTTTCCACTTCCTGGGCGGCCAGCCCACTCTGTCAGCTTCCTCTCCTGAAGAGGAAGCTAGAATGTCCCTCCCGCGGGCCCCAGGCTTTTCCTTCTCCCCTCTTCTACATCAAGGGTTACAAAGCGAGTGAACATCTGAGCTATGAGTTTACTTCGCCCCTGGGGCCCATCTGTTAGGCTGAGAGATCAGGCTTCGTAAACAAGGGATCAGAGGGGAGAAATTTAAGGAGAAATCTTAATGGGAGCAGCAGGGACTCTGTGAATCTTTGGAATGTGTTGACATGGATTGGGTACTCTATCTGTAGCCAGATGACTAAATGAGCTATCAGCTCCAGGCTAGGGCTGATTATATATATATATTAGAGTTGGGGTTTAGTAAAGATATTTTAGGAATTGAGGAAATGACTCAGTAGTTAAGAGCATATACTGCTCTTACAGAGAACCTAAATTTGTAACCAGCACCCATGTTAGGTGCTCACAAATGCCTGTAACTTCAGCTCCTGGAAATCTGATACCCCTGACCTCTGTAGGCATCTACACACACATACACACACACACACACACACACACACACACACACACACACACACACACAAAGTAAATAAAATAAATATTTTTAAAAGATATTTTAATATAAGTATGAAGGTCAAGAGAAAAAGAGGTGCAGAGCTTAGAAAACACACACACACACACACACACCACCTAAGAGCATGGGCCTGGGCTTCTCAAGAGAATTGCAGAAAGTGAGACCTGTCCAAGTGTGGGTAAGAGCTTCTAAGAGTCATTAATGACTGTATCTTTTGATCATCTCATCAGCTTGAAAATCTTGTAGCAATCACAACTGGACTTGAAAACTGGGTCCATTCTGAGCTCTGTGCATACGACTTTCTTCCATCAGTGAACTCAACACACACACAGAGTCCCTCGACAGGTTCTCAGTGCTGACACGAGAGGCCTGCCAGCTTTCTGCTCTGTGCTAGGAGGTCAGGTTCTTAGTACGCAGGCTGGGTAGAGGCTTGGACATGCATCTCCACTTCGTCTAGCTAGCATGCTCTGTACAGAAAACATCACCAGGGTGACAGGAAGGTTGGGATGGAAAGGATGGGTGGGTAGAAGGGAAAGAAAACAAACTGAGATCATAGTAAAGAAAAACTGAGATCATATTATATATTAAAATCCAAGCTGGGCGATGGTGGCACATACCTTTAACCCCAGCACTGGGGAGGCAGAGACGGGCAGAGTTCTCTGTGAGTTTGAGAACAGCCTGATTTACAAAGTTCCAGAATAGCCAGGGATACACAGAGAAACCGTGTTTCAGAAAACCAAATAAATAAATACATAAATAAAATAAAATCCAACTTCATAGTAAGCTACTACTCAAAACAAAGACATCCTTTCATTTTCGTTTTAGTGTAGCATATGGTGTTAAGAAAAAGAAGAGAACCTTATAGCTGACTTCCTTATGCCAGGCTGGGTCTGTTCCACATTTGGTTCAAGGAGTGGGGAGTCTTGGCCTGACCTTTTGGCAGATGCTCCATAACTGTAGGCTCATTGTCCTGACAGATATATATCCCATTTCCTGTTTCTCATTCAAAACTTTGTCTGTCTTTTGGACCAAATGATCCTCAGGAAAGTGAAAGCCATTCTGAAATTTCTCTGAGGGCAGGAGGAGTCTAGAAATGGGGTTGGATAATGTTAGCTTTGGATCATATTAGCTCTTTCATTGTTGGGGTAAATACCTGAGGAAACAAACGGTCAGAGGATATACCTGCTTCCATTCACAGTCTGTGTCTGTCACGCAGGGTGGGCGTGATGGAACGGAAACAGAGAGAATGCTGCACTGGCAGGGTTTCTCTCTCTTCTCCCTCTTTGATGACAGCCAGGCTTCCAGCCCATGAGATGGTGGCATTTGTATTCAGGGCAGTCTTCCCCTCTGGGTTAATCTTGTGCTTTTCAATTTTTCTCAAGAAAATCCCATTAAAACTATTGCTCACACTGGTCTCAACATAGAGGCTACTCAGAAGGCTGTAGCACCCAAGCCACTCTTCCAGACACACCCAGACCCTGGGACTCTGGTGGGCCAGCATCCTCAAACCAGGTCAAACCTGACTTCAAAGATATTGCTGCTGATGTAGTCTGGGATCCTAATGGCCTGGGCACAGCTGTGGGCCTGGCATAATCCTTCAGCAAATTCTACAACAATAAAGACTATCATCCTAACCCCGAGGCCCTTTCTGTGACAATCAAGCTGGAGAGAGTCCACCATGACCCGGGTGGGAGGATATGACCACCCCTAGCTCAAGCAAAGTGTTGCAAAGGGCTTCCTGTACTCACCAGAGACAGGAGAACTTGGAGTTGCTTTAGACGCCTCATGGGGAGCAAACAGGGAAGTCCTTCCGGTGGGATGTCTGGGAGCTCATTCAGGAAGTGGTCCTGATGCTGGCTTCCAGCCAACATTTGCAGGCCACACCCTGCCTTTTGCCCTCATCCCAGGCCTGGTGCTTACTTAGTATGTGTACTGCAGAAGGGATATCCAGCCCAGGTACCACTTTGGGACCCGAGGAATGATGTGTCCCCAACTGAGTCCCAGAATTGTCCCTCGGTACAGGGTTCCTTCCATCTACATAGGGAAACCCACAGGCCCCTGAGGGAGCCCCAGTAAAGAAAGAGGTTCACTGCCTTGAACAAAAGCAGAGTGATCTATCTGCCTGGGTTACAGGTCCACCATCAGTCACGCACCGATTGTCCTTTCATGGACAGGTTTTGGCCACAGTGGTCCTGTCTGAGCTTTTTTGCTGACACTGACCCAAAGATTCTGCTGCCTACTGTGGAATTCAGGAAGTCTCCAGAGGAGACTGGCTGGAGTCTTGGACCTTTAAGCTAGTTGATCTTGTTTGTTTTGGGTTTTCTTTTCTTTTCTTTCTTTCTTTTTTTTTTTTTTTTCTTTTTTGAGACAGGCTCTATCCTGGAGACCAGGATGGCCTCGAATTCACAGAGATTCCCTTTACCTTGTAAGGGGGCTTTGACTCTGCAAATGCTCTTGGCAGATGGGATTTTGAGGTGTTGGTGGTGGCTGTGACAGCCATAAATTCTCTATGGTTCTTCCTTAAGAGAAAAAGTGCAGCCAAACAGCACTGTGACCAAGACGCTGGTGCTGGTGCCCCTGCTGGCTAACAACAGAGAGAGAAGAGGCATTGCTCTGGATGGGAAGATCAAGCATGAGGACACAAACCTGGCCTCCAGCACCATGTGAGTCCTGTAGGGTGTGTGAATGGGCTATCAGGCCAGGCCTGTACTGGGCTGCCCCGGCGGTCACAGGTGAACACATCAGCCTTACACCAAACCACAGCGCCATTGCCTGCTCTCTGGGTGGCCATGGCCAAGTTCCTTGAGCTCTCTGAGAACCTCAGTTTTCCTGTCTGTAAAGTGGGAGTAATCACAGTTTCAATCTCAGATGCCAGTGATGAAGACTGATTGGGACAGTGTATGATACTCAGAGTGTCCCGGAAATGTCAGTTACATCCAAAAGATTTGCTAGCCTGTGTGGTGCCCTGAACACGTAAACTGAGTTACCACATTTGGCTGTTTTCATTCAATTCATTTCCATCTGGAAAGATGGGAAGACCTGCCGGCTGCTGGTAGGCACCAGGTTTTCATGAAAAGAAGAGCTGACTTGCCTGCTCTGTCTTGGAGAATCACTAGCTGGATTTAGGCAAAAGATCTAGGGGGAAAAATACTCCACAGTGAAGCTAGCCGCTAGCTGCCCTCTGGGCTTGATTTGCTGGGAGGGGTGAGGTAGGAACCCAGATCTAGGCTTGAGACCTTTTACTTTCCTCTCCCATAGGATGTGCTGAGGGCTACCTACTGGCCCTACTAGGCCCCCTTAGAGGTGATGCCAGAAAAAAGAGGAAGTGTCCTGACCCATTTGGACCCATAGCTCACATTCTGTGAGGCCAGTAGTGGAGACAGTGCCTAGTTGCCAGAGTGAAAGTGGGAATCAAGGGATTTTTCTGAGGATAATTTGCCAGCTGTCTATGTTAGATTCTAAAGTGTGTTCATGAAATTCCGGGGAAAGAAAATTGATACCCTAGATCAATTTAAGGGAGCAATGATCCGATGCCAATGGCTCACATTTCTGCAAATTCAGTTTTACAGTGTATGGCGTGTTTTATAAACACACCTCTCCACACCTTTGTGAGGAAGCTGTACTCGAACTTCCTTTTTATACAGTAGGTAGGGATCCCTCAGTAGAAAAAGGCTGAGAAACTCGTGGAGGGTCCCTGCGTGAGTTAGTTGTCCAGCAAGTTCACTCTACACTGGCGCTCCCACTCAGGAAGGTGATGGTGAGAGCTCTTGAAGTCCCAGGCATGTTCTGTCCTCCGTGTTTGGGCCTACAGGTTTATGAGCCAATCCCAGCAAGAGTGTGGTCTCAACTTGTGCCTCTGTCCTTCCACCAGATGGTGATACTCTTTGGGGAATGTTGTGGTCATAGAACACATGACCAGCAGCAGGGCTCTCCCTGCTTGGCCTGGCCCCAGATCCCAGGACTGCCAACATAACTTACCTCTGCTTCCTGCCTTCAGGGTCCTCCCTTGAGATTTTATTGTGGTTCATAGTAGCTTAACTAGATTTCCTTGTTATTTTTCTTCTCATATTCCCTGTTGTCAGACATCATAGGATACTTAAGTCTTCCACGTTGGGTCATAGGAGATAATAAACTGTGACAAAATGCCCAGTGGGGAACTTGATGGATCATAGAGCCTGGACTCACCCTTCACTGTCTCTGGTCACATCCCATACTCCTCGTTCATCCACTTCAGTGAGCTTCCCCTGGGTGTCAGGGGCCATGCTGGCTGCTGGGCACACAGAACTTTTGGACACAATCTGGAACAGTCATGATCCTGTGTTCCCTGTGCCTTCCTCGTGAGCAGAACACAGGGGAGGGGGCCCCAGTGCTACTTGGCTGTCTCCGGGAAGGCTTTATAGCTGGATGTATTGGGGTGCAGGAGAAAAGGAGAAGGGCCTCTGGGCAGGTTTGGAGTCAGCAAGGTTGGTGCCTAGAGGCCTCAGGGCATAGCTGGGTAGCATGTGGCAATGGCACCTCTCAGATTGCTTGCTGAAACTGGAATCTTGGTGGACTGAGCTCTTAGGGGTCAGGGGAGGATTCAGCAGCTATGGAATGGCGGGCAGGGCAGGGGCAGGGAGAGGTAGGAAACAGGAGAATGAAATCGGTCAGAGGCTGAGCCTTGAGAAGGAGGATGGATGCTGTGCCCTAGATGAGCACCATAGGGAAAGATGCAGAAAACCCACTCCCAAGCCCTACACGTGGATAAAGACATGTGGCCCATTTACAGAATTCTCCAGTTCCAAGGCGACGTCTTCAGAAAGATGACCCTGGCAGGAGAGGGATGGTTCCCACCCTGGCTCCGCGCTCATAATCTCTCTTCTTCTTTTTGATTGGGTAGCATCAAGGAGGGCATTGACCGTACTGTCATGGGCATCCTGGTGTCATACCATATCAAGGTGAAGCTCACAGTGTCAGGGTAAGTATTGAGTACTCCATCTCTGGTCTCTTCCTCTCGAATGACTGGCAGGTGGACAGCAAAGGAAGTCCGAGAGAGGTGTCTGCTGTGCCTACACAGAGTCTGGCATGGTTCCATTTGTCAGCCCCTGTTGGAGGCGATGTGTACTGAAAAACATGCACTGTCGGTGCCGCTGAGCGGAAGTGGGTGTGCATCTGCACACCCAGAGGAAGCTGACGGGCAGCAAGGACAGACCCTTTTGCAAAAGTAAATTGCCTTGCTTGGTTAAAAAAAAAAAGGGAATGATGTCAGTTTAATTTTCAAATTTCAGAAAGACTCGCAGCTGCCTAATGAACTCTGTAAATCTTCCTTTATTTGGGTTCAGTGTGTGGCATGAGCCACCTTGGGAGGCTGAGGCAGGATTAAGACCATGGTCAGCCTATGACACATAGCCTATGAGGCTCTGGCTTTGTTTTTGTTTTATAAATTGGGGCTGGAGGTGCAGCTCAGTTAGCAGAGTGCTTGCCTGACGGGCACAAAGCCCCACCTTTGCTTACAGCACCAAAAAAACTGGACATGGTTTCATATGGCTGTAATTCAGTATTGCAAGATGAGACAGAAAGTTCAGAAGTTCAGGGTCATCCTTGGCTACATAGACATTTTAAGGTTAGCCTGGGATACATGAGACTGTCTTGAAAAACAAAACAAAAATAAAATAAAAAAAGTTCAAGTAGAGCATCTTGGTGTACACCTGTAATCCCACCACTTGGGAAACAGAAGGAAGATTGCTGTAAATTTAGGTACATAAAGGACTACAAATAAATAAATAGATGCTTTTATATCTTAGACCTTTCTGTCCCTAAGGGGGTTCCTTCCTTCCTTCCTTCCATTCCTTAATCAAGAGTCACCTTTTTTGGCCAGGGGTGGTGGTGGCACATGCCTTTAATCCCAGCACTCAGGAGGCAGAGGCAGGTGGATCTCTGTGAGTTCAAAACTAGCCTGGTCTACAAGAGCTAGTTCCAGGACAGCCTCCAAAGCCACAGAGAAACCCTGTCTCGAGAAAACAAAAACAAAAACAAACAAACAAAAGTCACCTTTTCATATAAAAGTACTGCTATTGAGAGTGCTAAATAAATGATTTCCTTATAAGGACTTTTAATTTTATTTTATGTGTATGGGTATTCTGCCTACACATGTGTAAATGAACATGTGGTGGTATACACCTTCAGTCCCAGCTCTTGGGAGGCAGAGGCAGGTGGATCTCTATGAGTTCAAGGACAGCCTGGTCTACATATCATGTTCCAGGCCATCCAGGGATATAGAGAAAGACCATCCTTGTCTTAAAAACAAAACAGAAAAAGAGTAGCCAGTATTCTTAGCCATCTTTCAGCCATAAGAGACAGTTTCCTATTGTGTGTGTGTGTGTGTGTGTGTGTGTGTGTAATCAATATCTTTACTCTTGTCAGAAGGAAAGGAATTGAGTTCTCATTTTCCTGTCAGATCCTACTGCCAAAGGTGCTGGCCTTTTCCTTGATGAGCCTTTGTTAGCCTGGTCATGCATCCCCACCCCACCCCTCTCTTTTTGTTTGTTTTTCTAGACAGGGTTTCTCTCCATAGCTTTGGAGCCTATCCTACAACTCGCTCTGTAGACCAGGCTGGCCTGGAACTCACAGAGATCCACCTGCCTCTGCCTCTGGAGTGCTGGGATTAAAGGCATGTGTGGCCACCCCCCCCCCCTTTTTGAGAGTGGTTCTCACTATATAACCTAGAGAAAGGGTCTCACTTGCAGTCCCATGTCCTCTGCCTCTTGAGAGGACTTCGGCCTCAGGTGTGCTCGACCACCACAGGGTGGCTGAGAATTT